AATACAGCATGTGTGAGCTTTTTTTTCACTGAAATAGGAATGAAATATAATTTTACTGATAGAAAGAAATTTTTCCTTATTGTAGAACAAGATTATTCCCTTTATATATATCAACTATCTGTGATTCACATGAACAGGTTTTTATTGGTTCATAATTGAGAAGATTTTTTTTGGAATGTCTAATTATGTGGAATACATATTTGCCCATTGGATCATAAGCGACCTATCAGCATCATCTTGGGTTTTCCCCAGAGTAGCAATTCTATGATAGTGAAACCTCTTTAGACATTTGTGGCATTTCCACTTTGTGGTTCTGTCATTCTGGGACACAATGGTTTAACTGAATATCTGAATACTGTTTCCAAGCAAAGAAAGCTGAATGAAGTAACTCTAAAAATCATCCTAAATCAGAAGCACTGGTGGTCCTTTGTTACTTTACAATCTCTGAAACTAACAGAACTTGGAGTTGGATGATCTATTTTTCTTGTTCCTTTTTTTTTTAAAAAAAACCCATGATTTTATTTTTCAGACCTCTCCTCTTCACTCTTCATTGCCTAGATTTTATTTACCTCACTCCAGCCTTCCTCCATACATTTCCACTTCACTTTTTGTCAAAAAGTTCCCTAAGCTTCCATTCTCTTTATCTATGAATGTAAAACCTTAGCATGTTCCTCCATTTCTTTTTATCTCTATTAATTCCATAAAATCCTTTTGTAGATAATTCACTTACTTTCCACTTTCCAAGATAATCTATTTCTTCTGGTAGCCTTATGTTGATTTTCTCACATTTACAATCACAAAGAAGGAATTCCCTCCTTATATTATGTTCAAAACCTAAAGACATGAAAAATGTCTGTTTGAAGTTGTTATTCTCCTCTTTCTTCTCATTTTCCTTTCCCTCATCCAGATTATCATCTGGTTAAAAATGTCTTTGGACATTTGTGCATAAACCATTACTGCATCTATTTTCTGACAGTTAATCCTCTAATTACATCTTCCTTCACATCCTTTCCATTCAGTTTATTACATGTCATCTACACAATACTCTGTCTGTACAAGTTTTTCTAACAGCTTTCATGTACTGCTGTCTTTCAGTTGTACGCAGGGAGAAAGAAGTTCATGAGTTGTACTGTATGGCAGGAACACAAGTCAGACTTGGAAAGGGAAAGTATTCTCCTTCTAATTTTTACTCCCCTTCCTGGTTATTAGCAGACTGGGATTGTTGCAACCAACAATGTTGAGAAGGATGGGAGGAAAGATGCAATAATATCTTCAGGGGTTCATCTGGGGGAAGCAAGATCTCTCCTTCAGGAAACACAGAGTTCAGATAACCCTTGGGATTATGGAGCTACAATATCTCAAAAAGGAATAAGAAATCTAATTTTTGGAAGACTGTCCTGTCATTGTGAAAGGCAAAAGATCTAAAGTGGACTGCTTCAGTAAGGGTTTTTTGTCATGATCTTTCAGGCACCAAAAATTAAGCATCCTTCTCCCAGTAGAAAGGTAAATCCAACTTGAGGAAAAAAGAGAAGAGCTAGAATCCCTTCAGCCCCAGCATTAAAGCTGAGTTCTGGGATTTCTCTCTGTATTCTTTTTTTTCCTGTTGTCTTTATTTCTGAATATAATTTAGCTGATATTACTAACCCAGACTGACCTAATCTCAAAAATAAAAATGTTGGATGTTGCTGTAAGACCCACATAATAATTAATAGATATTTGAACAAGGAGAACAGACTATGCTATTTTGACTGTGTTGCCTCTGGTTACAGTAATTGCATTCAACTGAAGTGTCTCAGCTTATGTTTTGCCCAACATACATTCTCAGTGAGAAGGCTGCATTTTGTAAAATGGGAAAGCCTCCTAGTCAAAGGAAAGGGCTCTCAAAGCTTTCAGCTGGCAGTAGTGCTCCTCCAGAGCAGCTCAGTGTGTCAATTGATCACCTCACTGACAGCCAGGCTACATGTCCAAAATACCACACTCCTTCTCATCTGCTAGTAAAAGCTATTTCCTTCCACCTCTATCCTCTGACATTTGTAGTCTAAACCCTGGTTAAATGGAGCCTAATTCTTTGCAACCAGAAAGATTCTTTGTTTTGTAAGATTCTTTGTTTGTAAAATTCTTTGTTTTTAATAGGCAAATAGCCTGTGTTTTAACTACAGTAGATGAAAAATTATTATGTGTCTTAATGAGTGCAACTCATTCATTGGTTTGCAGAGGCACAAGCCTTGAGAGAGAACTAGATATCTGCCTGATGGCCCAGCTGCTGAAGCTCATTTAAGTGTCTGTGTGTTAACTGACAGATGCATAAAAAGTCATGTAGATATACAACTCCCTGCTAAAACTGTTCTGCAGCACAGGTTTGTGTGACTTATCAATTCCAGTACACAGATTCTGTTCTGTTTATGAGTGATTAGTTTCAGACAGGGGTAAAGACAGGCAAGCATGCTGGACCCAGATCTCTCACATTCTGGGTTAGCTTGGCACACCCTGTGAAATGCTTCACTCCCCACATTAACTGTGACCTAGCTCATGTTTACTGTCAAAAGTGCCCAGGTTGTGAGTGAACACCTGCATTCAGCTTTTCCTTCCATAAAAGTAATGAAACAAACTCTGAGCTCTGGTTACTTGTCATAATGCTGAGGGGCTCAAAGCAATTCAGGAACATTGGTTTAGACACTAACGGCTGTCACTGCCAGTTCTGTTAAACACGCCCTGTTGCAGGCAGCTGGCACTAAACATCACCATAGCCTGACTAATGTAGAAAATGTGGCCTAGAGCTACATTATAAAGACAAATGCTTTCATATAAAGGAAAGCTCAATCATGAGAGTAGAATCTGGCCTGTGAATTTGGGTTTTTTTAATCTTAGTACCATAAGAAAATTGTCAAATTGTTACATTCAGTAACATAAAATATGATTTTTATTTCAAAATGAAATGGGAAAACAATAGAGGTATGGAGTAACATATTCTAAACACAAGATCCAGAGACTTAAGGGTTATGCAGGGTTCCACTACTAATAGAACCTATGACTTTATATTAGGCATGTCACTCAAGTATCTAAATGTAAATTATATTTAATGGTATTTCCAAATGGTTTAATATCAAAGTTCTCTTTTGAGTATCTACAGTAATCCCACATAAGCTCTACTCAGCTTTGATACGTCAATAAAACAGTAAAGCAAAGTTTTCAGAAATAAAGGTTTAGGAGGAAAAGTAATTTGAGGAACTGCAGGCAGATTTGTATACAAATCTTAATTAATCCTAATATATAAGCTTATAGTTTTGATATACAGTTTTCTAGTAAGGGGAAGTTAAATAAAGCGAATATATATATATAAATTACAAAAATTTTTCAAATTTTGAATAACACAGCCTAAACTATCATGGTTTAGGAACAGTATTCCCCTATTTAGACTCCCACTAAAAAGAAAACCACAAACTATTCCCATCCCCATCCTGTGAAAGACAAAATGCAGAGATCATGGGTTGAGATAAGCACAATTTACTGGAAACAGCAATGAGATAAGAAAAATAAGCAGTAAGGGCTTATTAAATCTATACTGATTAACAAAGTATACAAAGGAGAGGGTGATTGACAAGCAAAATTCTTATTAGGGCACTCTGGCAACAATATACAATGGCTGATGAGTTTCCCCCTCCCACCATGCTTTTCTCAACCCCAAGCCATGCCCCTCTCCCAGGAAGGTGCCCCCCAAGGATGATGTGCCTCCTATAGAATAACAACCCAGTCATACCCATATGGCTCCAGGCTCTGCCCTCTCACAGCTACAGCAAAAATTTAACTCTGTCCTGACTGAACCAGGACAAGTCCAATAAGCAAAAAAGTACACAATTATTTTAATGCTTGTGCTTCATTAGTTCACAAATATAGACGTGTTGACACACATTCACACACATAAATCTAGGCTTTCAAGTCATTTCTTATTACCTTAAGAAAATGTTCTTCTGTTCAGTCTAATTTTTTTGAAGAAACACTGATTAATATAGTCAGTGGAGAATCAAACAGATTTAGCTTCTTGCAAAAGAATTGCTATAACCAATATCTTTTTCAAGTTCTCTCTGCTGCTGCTTCAGCTGTCAAAGTCAGTGGTGCACTGCAGCATTGAAGGTAATTTCCATTTCGTTGTAAAAGCTGTTTTTCTCAATTTTTTGGCTTCTTTGTCTTTTTCCTCTTTTGTCTTTCTACTTGCCCCCTATCCATCTAATACCATTCAGATGTCATTGGCACACTACGTTTACCACACCCCGGTGATTCCTATCCACCTATATGACATGCCTGTAGCACAAATGCTGATGATGCATTATATGCCCAGCACTTTTTGTCGCAGTGACATTCCTCAGCAAAGTACTGCCTAGGGGCAGCTGCTGGTTCAGAATCACTCTCTTAAGCAGCAATTACTCAGTTCGATTAGATGTTGATGATAAGCTATTAAAAACCACTCATGCAGAACCTTTTATTTACCAACAATCATGACATTCTTTTTTTCTTTCTGCCATCTAAAAAATCTAATCGAGAACAAAAAAACCCAAACAAACAAACAAAACCCAAACAAAAATACAAAGGAAAACAAAACAAAACAAAAATTCGACAGGTTCTCAGAGTACTTGGGTTAGTTAATGGATGTAAATACATCTGAATTAGCCATAGTGTTTCAAAAACAAATGCGCACAGAAAATGAAAGAGGGAAAGAGAGAAAATAGCTGTATTCAGAAAGTCAGATTCTCTAAATAGCTTGGGTCTTGTGTTTTCAAATTAGTTTGGGAAAGGAAGGAAGACAGAATGCATGCAAATCTTATATTGATGCATTAGCAAGCTATCAAGGAGTCTAAACAGAATTCTGGTGGGCAAGGTAAAACTTAAAAACAGACCAAAAAAACACCTGAGGTATTTAACTAGTACCACTCCGTGTGTTACATATATTGTGTTAAAGTCAGGGAGGACCTCAAATAACCATTCTTTTTCATATAGAGACAGCATTCAGAAGTACTTCTCTTGATTTATTGATGTGTGAACTGGAGTAAATGAAAAACTTCAATTCATTATAGAATCCTATATCTTTAAAATGAAAGAAGAAAAAAAAGAGAGAGACAAAGGAAAATGGTGCAGATCTATAAAGTGATATGATATTTAAATCTGTCTCTCTTACAGATATAACAGAAAGAAAGGGTCATAACATTGAGAAATAAATTTTAGCTATATGGCACTACATAAAACTCAGGGCTCAGTAACCATTCAATATGTTATCAAACATGAAATTAATGTAAAGAAATATTTGTTCTCAAGTGAAGTAAATTAGTAAGACCCTAAAAGCCGCTAGTTTACTGCAGGCCACTTCAAGCTAAAATTGTCAATAAATAACCAGTGTTTTAAAACCATATGTACCATATATAATAGTATATACTATTAGGACTTCAGATACATAAAGTTCTTCCAGTCATTGCAAAATGCCCTGCTTGTTTAATCTGTAATCCATTGACTTGACCTAATTATGTGTATCAGATAAAAATGAGTTCTCACTGTAGGCTAAAATCCCCCAGTGTTATGTGTTGAACAATATATGAAGTAAAATACAACAGGTTTTTAAATTCTTTTATGTTGGAATTTCATGGCTCCTAGATTTCATGGCTCCTAAAAGAGAAAGAAGGGAAAGAGTTACCACACAATCAATAGCCTCCTGGAATGGAAATTAATAATACTAACAGTAACAATAGCAACCACAACGATAATAATAACAAATGATTAATTAATAATACTATATAAATAGTATTATAATAATAGAAGGGATGCCATTTGAATTAGGTAACACTTTCATAAGTATATCTTTTTGAGTTAAAGCTAATTAGCTCAGTAAAGGTGCGAATCAGTTCCTTAATAATTGTGGTTTTATACCCAGTGTGTAATTGTGCAGTGCAGCAAATTTGAGGAAGAAGATTACACAAACAAATGAAATATCTGAAAGCTGGATATTGCAAGGTTAATTTCAAGGGTGTGAGAGTAAATTCATTCTTGAGTTTCAAACCTTTGAAACAAAGTGATCCTGAATTGAAGCCCATATCCTCTTTTATGGATATTTACAGAAGCCATTCATAAAATACTTCAGCTTTCAGGTAAGCCATTTTGCCATCTAAACATCAGTATCTGCTTTGATTCCCCTGTCCTATTTGTAGCCTGATTACAAGACAGACTAGCTGCTCTGCCAAGTGGAAGAAAGGAAAACCATTACTGAAATGTCACTCTGACCCCTTTCAAAGAATCAAAGACTTTTCAAAGAATCAGGTCTCCAAGTAAATCCTAAGATGCTCAGCTTTTGATTAAAGCAGTTTTTTTCCTCCTCTTGAAAGAGTTGGAGCCATAGCAGAAATAATGAACTGCTCCTGCTACTGTGCATCAGCAACACACAGGAGTTTTGAGCTGGATACTGTCAGTAGAAATGATCTGATTATAAAAGCTTTATCAGACAATTCATTGTTCTTATCTTTTTATATGTATATGGGTGAGATATTAACAGACCACAGGGAGAAGAAAGCTGGACCACATGAAGTCAGACAGTGTCACAGGCGGATTGTATGGAAAGGAATTACTTGATATATATATGGAATTCATTGTAGAATCATAAGGACAGAGCACTTTCCCAAAAGATTAGAAATCAATGGGTTTTACAGATTCAGCTGCAGGTATAATTTTTTTTTCTCACTGGAAAAGTATGAAAGAAAAATATTTACATCTAAAATTAATTACAGCTTTTAAATGAGACAGAACTCATATTTTCTATTGTTTTAGAAACTAGAAGAATTTAAATCAGAATACTCTAAATTTAGAATTAAATTACCAATTTTTTTCTATATACAGGAGAAAATGAGCAAAGGTTTTCTTAGCTGTCTATTTTTCATTTCTTTAATTTACTATTTAATGATGCAGGCAGTCAGATTAATTACAGATAATAATTATTTTCTAAACTAATTCCATCATTTTATTTTTTTAGGCAAAGATTGCTTAAAAATATGATGTATTGTCTATCTTAATAAACTTGTAATTTATTGGCTTTGTATTTTCCTAAAATTTGCGTAGGGAAAAAACCTAATATGGAATACGCAAGGAAATAAATTGATTGTAGGTCCACAAAACCTAATCACGTTTAAAAAACCCATAAATTTAAATGTGATTTGGTACTGTAATCATGGAAAAAAAAAAAGGAAGATTGATCTAAATAATAACAAAGTGCTAATTTCTGATGCACTATTTTTAGTTCAAGTTAATCAAAATTATAAAAAACAAGACATTGGGGTACGTTTTGGATGGTTTTGGTATATGAGTAGATAACTCATATAAATGATCAGCAGACTCTTTAGAGACTTTTCCCATTCTGTATGATTTCTTGGTCTACAGAGAGGTGCCCAAGATTTCCAGTGTTGCCTGCTCCAGCAGCAGCAGCGTGCGCAGTGCCTCTCGCTGGCGCTCCTTGGCATTTCCTGCTGTAGGCAGACATGCACTGCAGAGCCAGCAGGCTCTGGAGAACCTGATGGCTCTCTGATGGAGCCAGAACAGGGGAAAACTACAGCCAGAGTGTTCAGATGGATAAAGAGTGGAAAAGGATAGGTTTTGCACAAAGTTATGCACAACTCACTAAACTGCAACCCCTCAGAAATACTGCCTTGTTAGGGGAAACAGAGGAATGTGACTAAATGAACTTTACATCATCATAACTATGCAACAAATACTTTCAGAGCATAAAGATCTGACAGTCTATCTGAAATATTAATATCTGCTTCCAGAAGAAAGAGATATAATCTTCCAAGATTTTTCATCAATACAGTTTAACATTATATTTGATGTTTCAAGCTGTTCTTTGCAAGAAAATGCTTGGAATTGTGACAAAATACTTATTTAAGGAAAAGGTCATCATGCTACATTGGAGTGAAAAATCATCTACTTGATAAAATTCAGCTTCAAAGGGTTTTGAAACAGAACTACCTAAATATATTTTTTAAAAAATAATAACAAAAAAGAGTAGCTTAGTCAGATTGTAATTTGTACCACCAGCACCTCTATGGCTAATAGAATGTTAACTGAAATATATAGAATAGCAATGAGAAATTTCTGTATATAGCTCCTCTGGGTAAAATCTTTCCTTAAAACTTAAATACATATCTTTAGCTTTATCTCATGCTAGATTGGCAGTGAATATCAATCTTTGGTGTAGTAAAACTGAAACTCAGCCTATCCTCAGGACCCTAGTCAGCTGACTTGCTGCCAGTAATTGCAACTTATGGCAATAAACACTTATCTTAGAAGTTTTGTGTGCAGGAACAAACATTTTTTACAGTTATTGCTTCTACCATATTAGAAAACTACTTAGAAGCATAGAATTTGCATGCAATGCAATACAGCTAATGCTTGTTCCTTGTACTTTGCAGTTCAACTTTCTTAAAAGGGTATTTTTCTGTGGGTTTGCATAAACTTCAGCATTTTGGAAAGGAGGAAGACTGTGAGATATCAAATTTCCAGTTATACCATATTAACTAAAATGGAAAATACAGCCTGGGGTTTTTTAGCAAATATAGTTTCTGGGCTTGGATTTAAAATACAAGCTTAAATGTCTGGCCACAAGTAGAAGCAGGAAAATTAAAATTTAAGAAATGTGTTTTTATTAGGATGATGAGGATAATCGAGAGAGAGAGAGAGTAATTTTCTTCTGTTTAGGATAGGTCAGGGAAACAGCTCATCTGCCAAGGTAGCTGTAAGCCTTTCTGAATAAAAAGCAGGAAAATTGCTTGTATTCCCCCAGGATAACTCTAAATCTACAGAAGATGCTTAAGGCAGCTGAAGTACAGCTTTGTGTAACATTACAAATAATCTGAATAGTCTGTTAAAGACAGTCAAGAAAGAAATTGGGGGAAAATTTACAGCTCATCGCAAAGAATTTGAGTACTTGAAATCTGAAAAAGAAGTTTAAGGCGCAGAACCAGCAGTGTAAGGCTCAGCACTGTGCCCTGGCAGATGTTTTGCATTTGCTACCTGTGATACAGTAAGTTCAGGCAGGAAGAGTTAACTGATGTATAACAGCAAGCAGTATTTGAACAGGGGAGTTAGGCCAGTGAAAGGGAGCTCAAATAAAGTTAATGACAGGAAAAAAAATTAAATGTAAATACCACCAATTGAGTAAGATCATTTGATCCTTCACTTCAGATGGTATCAAGATATGTAGAGATGGAGGTTTTGACCTTGGGTTTGGGATAGATTCCCAGAGTGCCCAGCAGTCCACTCCTAGCACATCTGTACTCTTCCTTCCATGTTCCCGCTGGAAAGGAGTTAGCACAGGTGAATAGGACCCATGCTATCAGCTTTGGTGGTCCTGAATGTAAAAGAGTCTAATAAATGATCAAGGAGTTACCATGACAGTTGACCCAGGCTGAGATCCAGTCAAGGCAGTGTCCCAGTCCTTCAGAACCCTGACCGGTGCTATGGAGTAGTGCAGACAGGAGTCCACCATCCTAGAAACATGAGAAGACTTATTTCAAATTAGGTCATTTTGAGAGCATCTGTTACTTTCTTAAATTGGACAGTAATGTAGGCAGTGTTTAAAGTCTTGTTGCAGGAAATAACAGGTCTGGCTCCGAATGACAACTTCATTGAACTCCCAGACTAAGTTGTTTTGCTCAGACTAGAAACTCAAAGAGGGACTTGGAGGTGTTTAAGGATATAGATGCTACAGTAATTTCTAAGTTTATACAATTTGCTGATTAGGACTTTCAGAATTAATGATTGAAACACTCACTCCCCTCTTGCTGGTCTGACTACATCATGGTAGTTGTTCAATGAATGGATACAGGGAAAAACATTTACATTGATCTACTCAACTGTTGATAGCTTTTTAAAATTTGGCTGCATTGTGGTCTCTTTGGTGGTGAGATAAAGTCAGCTTTGATACTACTGTGATCAGTCACACCCTACACAAGAATTTCATGGGACATCATCCTTAACCATGTCCTTCCACTCTTTTGTCAGTATCACACTGGAGCAAATTGTAAGACACATAACTAGTCCCAGAAGTAATAGTGAATAAAAAAGTATTGTTGCCATATCTCAGTTTGCAAGTAGACATCAATTTCTGAATCTAGTTATTAACAGGGAGTAGGTAATACCATATATGCAAACTTTGATGGTCAGTTTCTGTGCCATTTGTTGTCACCACAAGTTGGTGATATTTTTATATATTCTGACAGTGATACCTACCAAATATGTTTCACACAGATGGATAAATGAATCGGTAATTACTGAAATCAAAGATGTATATATTAGGACTTAACTTATAAATGCACATCCTGCTGTTAATGAATAGCAGAGATTCAACATTTAAAAACCCTAATTTTATACACTTGAATTTAGGAATGCAGTAGTGGCAATAAAGCACAATTTTCTAACAAAATTTATGTACAGTAAATTTGCACAGCCTTGGATTAACTTCTGCCTTCCTTTATGTAGTACTTTAGTGCTCACACTTAAATTGAGAGTTGGAAAAAAAATACTGTATGTTATACAGCCTACCCAAATAAAGATTGTAAGGTGAAATGCAAATCATAGCTATTGAAAAACTACTTTTCAGTGTCTGCAATATATAACATGATCTCCAATACAGTACTTGGCATTTTAGTAGTTTTAAAAAAAGCTACATGTCCTCATCCATAAGGAGGTATAATCACTAGTACAGCAAAATATATTCAAGTCCAGGATATTTAATGACTAGCAGATTTACCTCCTTAAAGGGCAGGTGTGGAAGTTAGTGTTCACTGTAAAAGTCTAAGTCTTTCACAGTAGTTTAGTCTTTCACAGTCCTGGCATGAGAACTACAAAAGTAGCCAACCTTTAGATTGTAAACGCAATAGCTTAACAAGGAAAGCTTGTGGATATTACTGAATAATTTCTGCACTCACAATTTATGAGACATGGAATCTTTTAGGTGTTGCAACTACGATTTATAGCAAAATATGAACCAGCAAAATAACTGAAGTGGCAGGTCTTGCTAAGCAAAAAGAAAAGAAATTTCAAAGAAAACTTGGAGACTTCCTTTTATCTTTGGAATTCTCAGGAACCTGATTATAGATATGTGATTCTGACAAATCTGATCCTGTTCTAGATAGCCTTCAAAAAGGAGCAGAAAACCATAGGAACTAGAACTAAGACTAGCCTGAAATCTTACAAGACACAGAAAGTTTATCAAGGAGATGAAGCCATCTTGCCAAGTGGGAAGTCTTGAGTTATTGCAAAGAACAGAATTAAGTTATTAAAAGATACAAGTATTCTAATCACAAAAAAAAAATAGAATGTAAATGTAAATGTTGTAAATGTTGCATGAATACCTTCAGAATACTCTTCTTCTGTCAAAAATTATTGAGATCATGAGGGCTTGACAGCTAAGGCATTTAGATTGCTTCACCAGAGACAGTTGTTGCCTTAGGAGACCTATCACCACATTTATACACTGAGTGATCAAGCTGGAATAAATGTAGGTATTCATATATATTTTTAAAATTAATGGCTTGATGGAAAACACACAGGTAGCCAGTTCATTAAAGCAGATCCCTATGATGGAATAAATATACAAGTTCCACAGCACTTTGAAAATCTACAGTGGTCTTCCAAACAGAATGAATCACATTATGGGAACCAATTATATGCATGAGTTTCTCATATTTTGGTGGCTGCCACATAGATATACTAAGACTTAGGGAGTTGTAGTTGTTCATTCTGGAGATGACAAGGCTCTAGGGAGACCTTATAGTAACCTTCTGGTACCTAAAAGTGGCTTATAAAAAAGAGGTAGAGAGATGTTTACACAGACAAAATAGACACCAAGGGTTAATGGTTTTTAACTATAAGAGGAGAGATGTATGTTAGATAGAAATTCTTTACTATGAGAATGGTGAGACAATGGAGGAGGTTACCCAGAGAAGTGCTGTACCCTATCCCTGGAAATGTTCAAGGTCAGGTAGGCTGGGATCCTGAGTAAACTGATCTAGTGGGTAGAATCTGGTGGTACCTTTCAAACCAAGCCATTTTAAGATTCTCTGAATCTTGGTATTCTATCCTAATGTAAGAACATTACATACACCATAAATAGGAGGGGGAAAAATAATTGAAGTGGCGTTGCTATGCTGGCATAACTTTGCTGCATAAACAAAGACTTGTTTTTAAAATCATGAGTGGGTTCCTAAGTTAGAAGATGTCCTTTTAATTTTTTTCTTAATATCATCTTCCTTCATATTTAGCACCAGTTTTCTCAAATTAATGCAAATCTGCTTCATCTGAGTTTCATAGTCTTTCGTTCCAAATATGATTCCTCCTCAAAAAGCTGCTTGGGACTCATTGCCCTACAGTTCTGGTGCCTTGGTAAATATGGCAAGTGCTCTAGTGTCTGGCACCTGGTATGTTTCTGAGTGATTCAGTCCTGCCTACCTCAAAAGAACATTCACTTTCATGATTGCTTCAGATTCTACAGCTGTGGCCTGATTGCCTGCAGATAGATACATTGACATTCTTTCTCAGTAAACCAGTTGTTGGCCTTCTTATTAAATCTACATATTTATTCAGCTTGCTATTCTACGATATTTTTGGGAAACAGTGTACCAAACTCCTAATATTATCTATCAATACACACTGTGGAATTCTGTATAGAAATATTTAAAATATTCTGTATACTGCTAACCTTCAAGACAAGAATCAGGTTACTTTCTTCAGTTTAATTACTCTGCATAAGAAGAACAGATGTTTTCCATGTTTTCTTAAGTTTTTTATTCCTCCTTCATGCCCAGATAGAAACTCAGCTGATAGATTAAAAATTGTCCTAATTTTTATCTTAGATGTTGATCACAAAAATGTTGGATGAATTTTTTTGAAGCTCAGTTCACGTATTCTCTTTTATGAAAATTAAATTAATATTTCTTTAGAAAATAGTAACAGCAATACCCTTATATTTAGTTCAACCTGCTTATTATTTTATGTACCAAATGTAATAACAGGATTAATATAAAATTATGATTTTTGGGACCCACTGAATAACTACTCATAAATGGAAATCAGCTCTAAGCCTATTAAACCTAGTACTCCAAACCTCCATATTGTATTTTTTTTATTTAGAGCTATCCTGGTATTTACATTATGGTTCCAATTAACCCTACTTTTAAATAGTCACTTTAACCTAGATCAAAGTATTCATTTGCTTTTCTAAAGGCCAATTATTATTGAGTAGCTTAAAATAGTACTGTAACTTTACAAGATTGAACTCCATATGACCTTACCATAGGCATATGGTCACAATAATAAAAAAATAAATATTAAAAAGAAAGTATTTTTAACATGCAGCTGTTTCATTTCAATCTTTTCCATTCAGTAATTCCTTCTCTCCCTGAATTTGCAGTATGTTAAACCTCATTAATAAACCATAAGTATAATGTTAACTTGGCTTCCTTATATCTTAAAGAAAGTTTGAAAATTAGGAATAAAATGCAAAAAATGAAAATAAAACATTTTCAGCTAGTCCAATGTAAAAATATGCCAAGTTCTGTGGCAAGATCCTAATAGATAGGTCTTCTGGGAATACTTCTGTAATGTTAACTTTAAAAATGTTGGAATTAAAAATTGTTGGAATTAATCTTGAATTATTTTATTGAATAGGATATTTCATAAAAGGGTAGGGCTTTTTCACATTTTTTCTTTTAGCTGATATTTCCTTTCTTATTGTTGCAGCAGACTATTGGGACTGTGTATTTCGGGTAGTAATATGCTAAAAGGTAAGTATTATTGAGTGTAAATAAGTTGCCTGCCTGGAAAGGGGGTTAAGATGCTAATAATACCTTATCTGTTCAGTAAAGTATACTTATGTAAGTTACAAGAACTGTGTCAAGGGTACAGAAAATCTTTGTAGTTGTTTCTATATCACTAAAGTTGCAATAAAAGTCTATTGTGTGAGAGAGTTTGTAGAGCTGTAGCTTCACTTGTAAGGAAAAAGACATTGATTGGCTTTCAAAACATTGCCCTCAATAAATATTGTCCTTGTACAAACTCTTCTTTTCCTGATTTAGCAAGTTATTTATGGTACATAATTCCTTATCTGTATATCTGTGTTACAGTCCCACCATTCCTCATGAAATTAAAGAAAATAAAGCACACTGATATTGTCAACATTTCAGAACATACAATGATGAGGACTGTTGATAGAAAAAAATGCATGATTTTCTTATTACAAGAGTTATATTTTAACATAGCACCTAGCTATGAACTCAAAAATACTTAGGGTAGAATTTAAAATCAGGGAGTAGTTTTCCTTTAAAATATATGAAGAGGAATATGAATTTATGGAATGTAATTCATCCTGCCCTAAGGTATGCAATTAAATTGCTTCAAAAAGTATTTATCTCTCTCTGTTGACTATAAATTGGAACTTTATAGACTAATTTGCATGCAGAAGACTAATAGAAATCTAAAGTTAGGTAAAATTAATT